ACAGAATCTTTTCCTCACACTTCCCAGAGCTCTTGAACTGGTGGGTCAGAGTGGAGCAACATGGAACGGCGACGACTAACGTTGTTGATGGTCGGCACTACTTTGCAGAGAACGGGTATGCGAGATGATGAAAAGTATTCAGTGAAACAGCAATGGCTTGAAAGTGAATCCATAGTCGTTGTCCGGAAAATTCCAAGATAAAGACGACCACTGTCATTCAGTAAGCTTCCAATGTTACTTCAGTCGAAAGCAAATCAGGGTGGTTATTAACCATAATCACACCCTTTTCAATTACTTCAATCTTGTACGCTTGGAATATCATGAGGCATTTATGTGTTATTCTAGGGATTCTTCACCTTAATGGCCGACATATCCTTTCGTTGATGAAGAACTGCAAAGTATTCAATCCCCAAAATTTCCTCGATAGGAAGCACTTGACTCGGAGATCTGGATAATCCACCGGCAACTGTGACCAGTGCTCCAACCACATCTTACGTTGCCTTACCGAATATTCAAATTATTTAGTCATTTATCTTGCACAAATTGAATTAATCATGTACATGAGTGATGTTTGTTTATTCATCTATTTACCTATTTGTTTAATCCCGGTTTACACAATGTGCGCATCCCAGTAATTGTTTGAAATGTATCATTGGCTCGGCTATGTCATCGGTTAATGTCATCGGATCTGCTTTTGGTCTCGACTGTCACTTGAAAATCCCATCTTCCTCTGGAGTGTCGCTGAATTTCGATAGAGTTGGTTATCTCTGGAATCAGAGAATAACACTGGTATACTGTGTTTAACGTTTTGTTTTCTGCCTTCTATAATTTTCATGGCAGGTTATTAAGCGGAATACAACCACAACGTTGCTGAGATATTTGCAAAACTCTGGACCGCAGGTGTCTATGGTGGGGAACGAACGCGCTATTATCCTTTCCGGGGAGTAACGCGTTCACCACCACACCATGCGGGTCCTTTGTTTCGCACGTCTCTCAGCTATTTCTATCGATCTTTTTGCCGATCTTAACTGGGTTCTATGCCGATTTGCGCTCCCCAGATCAACCCCGCTGACGGGTGATTGCTGTGGCAAAAAGATCGATAGAAATAGCTGAGAGACGGGCGAAACGAAGGCCCCGCATGGTGTGGTGGTGAACGCGTTACTCCCCGGAAAGGATAATAGCGCGTTCGTTCCCCACCATAGACACCTGCGGTTCAGAGTTTTGCAAATATCTCAGCAACGTACTGGTATACTGCTTTCAAGTTCATAGCGTAGACAGTCAGCCGTCTTTCTGAGTCGCAAAAAGCTTTTGGCTTTTGCGGTGAAAATGACGACTCTGGAGTGATGGGAAGCATAGTTGGATCAAGGAGATACCAGAGGACAAATATTACGTGTACACGATTGGCGAACAAAAATATAGAGTCAGTGCTGCTGAACAGATTTAGTTTCTCTTCGCAAAAATGGCTGAAAGCAGTGCCCGAACTGTTCAAACTTCGGCCGAGAGTTTTCCATAAATATTACTCGAACTTATATTGATATATACAGACCTTCATGCAGTCAATAGTTTCACATTACAGTTTCGAATCGTGATTTTAGAAGGAAACATTAGTTTTGAAATTCAAACAATGCTAAGAAAGCTGCAGAAAATTTTGCCAGTATCGGTTCGCTAAAATACAGTCTTACCCCTTTCCAAGTGCTTCTGCTTTTTTAAAGCAAACTTTTCAGTTTTCCCCAACTCGAAGGCAATTGCTCTTCAGCAGATTGTCCTTTTGGTTCAGCTCTGTACACTACATTATGGTTCTATACATCATCTGTAGTGTAATATTTAAACTCCTAAATGCTTTCTTTAAACGTAGCAAAATCCACCGCGAAGATTCTAGCCAGTTTTCTTCTGATGATATTTCTTTGTTTTGACAAGTCTTTTTTAATGGATTCTCAAATTCTATCGCAGTGCTATTCCAGGTCGTGACTGCTTCCTAGCTAGAGCATGTTGCCGCCAAAATGACAGTGATTCGGGACATTGATTTAGTCTCAGATGCGGTATTGAAATGAAACTTCTTCTCAACTTGACAGACCTTGGTGTTTAGAGATTAAGTACCGCCATATGTTGCAGTTCGATGTCCATGAACTTCTCCAAGGCGCGATGAGACAGTAAAGCATTAAGAAGTCTGTAACTAAAAAGCGGAAATTCAGCTAGACCATCGGATTAAAGCTGCTCAAGCGCGATGCGATCTGCTTGTACATCCTTTATAGTTATTTGGGATCCAAAGTGTTGAAGTGATAGAAAAATTACAACAAGAATTGAAAAGTGTTTGGTGTGAAATTACATATTAAAACAGAACAAGATAGTGGCAGTAGCACAGTATATAGTTTCTAGAAAGAGAACAATCGTGTATATCATTGAGAAGAAGATGCACTGAGAATTCTTATATTGAAAAAAACGAACTAAACGTTACACGAAGGGCTCAGATTTTTTAAAAGGTAGACTTTAAAGCAGTGTTTAGATCTTCAAAAGGTGGACCAAAGAACTCCACAATCGATGACTTGTTCTTGCTTGAGGCCAAAGAGTTCAGTGCTATAAAAAGTTGGAAATGGTTAATAAAAGGAATCAGTGAAGAAAAATATCAGAACGCTCACGAAATTGAATGACAGGTGCTACTGGGAGCGCTTCCATAGAGCTTGGTTGAGGCATTGCCGGAGGTCCAACTGAATAGAAGGTAGTATTGAATTCTTTGTAATTTTTATTTCTTCACCAATCGAATGAACTTGAGATTCCTGATACATGGATTGAGCTTTTTTATTTTGGTATGGTCTAAAATTTTTCAATCCTTGGTGGGTTCAAATCACACTCCAAATTTCAATAACGCAGCACCTTTTTTAAATTTTTGTATTATTTTGCGCTCAGGTAACCTATTCCTTAGAGCTGCCCTGCAATACACGTGTGGTCTTCGCATCGATGTTGTCCCCTGGAAAACTAAGCACTTCAGCCCTCTGGGACTGCAAATAAGAACCAAACTTGTCTAGAAATACAAAGAACACTGGTTTAATCTATAGGTAGGTACTTGCATTATGTTGCCGTTAACGGAAGACAGAAAAGTACAAAGTCTTCCAGATTGATAATCCTTGAGTGATAGGCCACGCATTCTACTCCATTCAGCATCGCAGGCGATGAATGCCCATCTGGCGCATTAAAACGACTCTCAGGGTATTATAGATATATCAAATAAGTGTTTTATCCCACCGAACAAATTATATACCAATTTTTCATCTCAAAAAGATGTGAGATTCTTGGTTAGCCAGCGGAATGGAGTGGAACCAAACACTATTTGCAGCATACCTTAATCAGTAAGGGACGCTCTCTGTCTAGCATGGGTCTCAGAGTGGAATGCGAGACATTTTCCTTCAGCTCCGGAGTTTCTGGTTTTTTGACAATAAAAGATGATTTTTCCTTAACTACAGTGCTTCAAGGGTTCCGAACATAACAAAAATGCAAAAGAGATCCTACTTTATCGTTCCATGGAAATGAATGTTTTGTATGTTAGTATTTTTTGGGCGTTACTTTAATACTATCCATAGGGATGCGTGAAGCGCAGTGGTCGGAAGTGCGCTGCAATACAAATGGGTCCGATCCCTGCACCCAGACTCATTAAGCCCTCCATCCCTCCGGGATCAGCAAATCGGTACCAGAACTGTCTGAGAGGATAACAGCATTGGTTCGATACATCGATGAGCCACCGCCAGTCTTTGTAAAGGCCAGATATACATTCAGTCACCTCCAACGATGCTCAATGAAGTCCAATGTATGGCACATCCTTGAGAGATCAATGTCGAGAGCTTTATCATTTTTTTTCCACTACTATCTGTTATGCAAATCCTCCCAACGGTTTGCCGCATCATCGAGGCTGGGAGGTGTTCCTGGGTGTCGGACCGCGATGTACAGCGAGGGAATTCGACCCACGGCACGTGTCAAAATCGCATGGTGGTTAATCTCCCTTTGATCCGCAAGGGGTGCGACTCGTGGTGACGACCTGGAGCAGTCTTTGGCCAGGCTGTCCTCGGGAATCTAGAGAAGCACAGTGGCTTAACCATCAAATCCTCGAAAAATGGTGATTGTGCACGGGCCCGAACGACTAGTGAGGACGGGGCGTTTAAGTATCAAGTATTATGCAAATGCACTGTTGTAAGCAGTTGAAAGTATTTTGCACTTATGGTGAGCCCGTTTCGGCTTTTTATATCCGCACAGTGTAAACAATATGCCTAAAATGAAATAACAGTTAATATTTAGTCAAATTACCGGTCAAAGAATCTCGTCGAAAAAGGGCTTTTTTTGTAAATTTTTAGGTGTGGACAATGGTTTTTCTACCTCACTCTTACTCCTATTTTAACTTGCCTTCAATTAGCTATCCAATGAGTACATACATACAGCACTGCCAAAAAATGTGGAGAGCACTATACTAAAAATGAACGCTATGAAGTCTCTACCGAACCTTGTTGGCTAATCAATGTGCTTGCTACATGTTCTCCTTTAATCATTATCGCTATTAACCTAGAAAACTCAACATCAAATACTGTTGACAAAATCTGCCTTTGGTGACAAAAGATCTCCCATTTACTACACGGAATTCTTTTACAGTTTCTAGCAGTATCCAACATTATTGACAAGCCATATACAATCATTGTTACTAATAAATTTTTAGAGGTCCCATCGTTACATCTACTGTGTAGATTTCAGTACATCTTGCATTTGATTCGTTTTTCTCACATTCATCGTCCACAATAACCTTCGAACATTTCCCCTATTGCCTCCGTGGTCGCTTGAGGATTTCTTCTTTATGAATGTCGTAGAATGCTGGTCGAGTCGATCCTCTCAGCAATCTAGGAGATAGCCGGCGACAGTAGACCCACGTGGATTCGAGGAGCGCTGAGCAAGGGGTCGAACCAGGAACTTGCTTGTTGGGAGTCCACTCCACTAATCACTGGGTTAACCTTTCTCCCTTGTTATTAATTATTAGGAGAACTAAAATTTATCACTGCGAAACGAACAATACCTTCGTCGTGCTCATCAATGAATGTATTTAGTAGAAGGTTGAAGCTTTCATTGGAGAAACATGGTTGTATCTGAAATAAAATATATAGAACCTTTAAGAAAAGCCTGATAATCTTCTTAGTTCTTATGTACTTCCAAACAGCACTGCACTTATGTTTATTTGAAATAAAACAGAGGCCTCTTTAACGATTATGCATTCATTGGGTGTTACACATTGATTTTAGTAGCCTAAATGGTTGACATTTTCATAGGGTGCCAAAAGACTATTTATGTTACAGAAACGTTTTTGGGCTCTTTTTAACCTTGAACATGTCAACACCCTTTCAGTGAAAGGGGAAGGATGCTCAATATATGATTCATGATTGATGATGATTCACGATCAGATACAACATGGAAACAAAGCTGAAGAAAAATGAAGGGATATAGGATTGAATCGGATTAAACGAAAACTATTAAATGTCTTTCTATGTTACTTGAATTCGTTCCACACAATCCGAACAAAGGCGATCGCGCCTGCGAGTGCTCGTCTGTAGATCACAGGCCGTCCATTCCGACCATTCAGATTCCACGATCCCCACACCCGATGGTAGTCCTTAACAGCCGTGATCTTTAGATAATTTCTTCAGTTATGGCCTTATCGTTATACACATGTACTATGCTTTTGTATAAAATTTCGCTCTGTTGTTTTACATTGTTGGAATTTGGCTACGCAAAGTTAGAACGCTTACTCCTCTTTTAGAAAAGTTTTTAGGCCTCTGATACAAAAAAATTTTAAGCCGATGTAATACGTAAAGGTTAAAGCATGAACTTCTATCTCATAAATGTTGATTTGCATAAAATGCAGACATTTCGCGCTATAGTTGAATAAATTCGACAGAAGCAACATGGACTTTAGTCTTAGGCTAGCTTAGAAATAAAATATTTCCAGCGTAAACCAAACTATGAGAAGTGGAAGCAATTTTGAAAGAATCTCTAAAAAAGTACGATAGTTGAAAACCTCACCCCAATTCCTGTCCGTGTCAATCGTCGAGCCTTTTGAAGTCTTTGTGTTTAGCTCTGCTAAATATTAAAAGTTTCCAAATAAACAGATATTCGGAAGAAAATGATTTGTTCAGTTACTCAATTCGACCTTCGACAAGCCTTTTAGCACATTCAGGAACCTGAACATAGTCGACTTTCTTTTCCAGCTCTGGGATGAAAAATTCTGGTCTTGTTCTCCTTGAATGAATATTGAGAATACAGTTCGATACCGGTTGATCAGGGTAATGAAGCAGTGACTGACACTCAAATCCACGATTCACCTTAATCATAAGGCAGTACTGTAAAGTTAATAAAAGTTAATGCATTCGTCATAGTGTTTATTGGTTTCAATGTGTTGTTTCTCATCTTAACTGGCACTAAACATGGCTTTTGATTTTCTAAATCCCACAAAAAATCAACTTTTCACTTTTTTGCAACAGTGCACATATTTCGAACACCAGAGCAGAAGAACAAGCGAAATTTCGTCTAACCAAGGCAAGAAGGTTGTTTTAAATGTGTCGGTTACGTTTGCAGTTGTCGCTCTTCAGCTCCAAATTTTATAGATTTACATTTCGTTTTTTTTTCATTTAATGACGCGTGTGACGCAGTGGTCGGAGGAGCCCTGCAGCACACACATTAGACCGAACCCAGCACCCGCGGTTCACCAAATATTCCATCTCTCCGGAGTCGACAAATTGGTACCAGACTCGTCTGGGAGGCTCAATATATTGGTAGGCCACCGCAAGTCATTCTAAAGGCCAGATATGCATTCATTCACCTCCAAACAATGCTTTATGAAGTCGAATGCATGGCGCATCTATCAAGGGCTTATCAATGCCAAGAGCTGTAACCTTTTCTACACTTCGTTTTTAATTTTTTGACATTTGACAATAAACAAATTTAAAAACAAAGTAATTCCGATCAAAAGCAGTAAATCGTTGAGGCAACAAAGCGAGTTCTCTTTTGTAAGCCTGTGAAGTTCTCAAAGCTCTCAACTCTTCCACTATTCTCATCATAAAAAAAATTGTCCTTTCTTGTGGAAAAAGTAAACCGCCATCAACATAATAAGCATCTTCTGCATACATATTTTGTTTTTTTTTCCAAACTACTGCGAGTATAATGACATATCAATCATTTTTTAACGCATGTGGTTTTTTTCTTGAAGGGATGGACAACGCATCAAGGAGCTCCAAAAAAGAATTCTTCTATCGTCTTCCCTCCACTTTCCGTCTTATTCAGGATCAGTATGGGTGCACTTCTTAGGACGATCTCGTTTTCATAAGCCGAATTTTAAGTGTACTTAGGGTACACAGTTGTTCTGTCTTCTATGAAGGATTGTCATAATCCTTTTGTGTCTATATTGATATGTTTCAGCTTGCATCCAGGCTGTGCTTATGGATATTTAGATTATATTCTTTCCTACAGATTCAATTGAAAGCTCTCAACCAAGATACTAGAAAGAATAGCGCAGCTGGCTCGGAGTCACCTCCAGCAAAGCTCCACATCACAGCGATTGAGCCCAACAAACAAACAACGCGTGTACTCAACACCTACAGCACAGCCTTTAAAGCATTTTTTGGTAACTATTGTAAAAAGTGGTGGAAGCAAAGCATAAAATTTCTCCGACTCCAAAATAGCCTAGGTTACGGCAGCGTAGAGAAGAATAAATACGGAGAGGTTGCCTTGGTGACAATCTGTGCACATGACGTACCCACACTATAAGAATTCTGTTAAGTAATATGGCTAAAAGGATTAAGTGCGACGCTATTGGGATGGCAGCGACAACATATCGCTTGTTCAACATCGACAAAGATAACGAAATGAAGCTGTTTCACGGAATATGTGATGTGAGAACAGTGGAGTTGCTACCTTCAGCTACGCTAGCTTGGATATTATCACCGATTCCTTTAAACAGTTGACGACCCTGCTGCTTGCTAATCAAATGTTTGTGCAGAATAACTGGATAATTACAAAAACTGACACATTTTTTCATAGAAAGGATGCATCTTTTTATTTCATGTGGCCCGTCTTCACGTCTACTGTGCGGATCCCAACATTTCTCATATTCGGATTCGTTTCCTCGCATCCATTATCCACGATGATCTTCCAACTATGCGTGTGGCTTTTGTTGCTGCTTGAGGATTTTCATTTCATCTTGGATTTCGTAGAATGCTGTACTGGTTGAGCAATTCTACTTGGAGCCCTGAGATAGCAGGGTAGAGCGTTACCTATTGGATTGCAGAGAGTGGTTTCTTCCCAGACAAGTCTGGTGCCAATTTTCCGACCCCGAAGAACGACACGCTTGGTTACCCTGGAGCGAATTCGAACTTTTTGCGAATTTTTTTGCGAATCGAATCGAGCTATTTTATTTTCGAATATTTTCGAAATCGAGCTATTTTGCTATTGCTAATAGCCAGTCATGAAATGATTACATGGAACTGAATTGTTTCAAATTCAACGTCGACGTGGTGCATGTCTGGCACATAAGCTACAATCATTTGATGGCACTCAGATATCCGGTAATCTTTTGATTCTTAAGCAAGAGCGTGTGCAGCGCAGTGGCCCGAGGAGCACTGCAATACAAATAGGAATGATCCCTCGTCCCTGTTCCACCAATCCTTCCATGCCCCCGGTGGAGACAAATTGGTAGCAGGCTTGTCTCTGGGAGGATAGCAGCACTGGCTCAATACATCGGCGGGCCACCGTGAGTCATTGTAAAGACCAGATATGCATTGAATCATCTCCAAAGGATGCTTAATGAAGTCGAATGCATGGCGCATCCCTCAGGAATTGGTCAACACCGAGAGCTTTATCCTCTTTATCCTTCATACATATCTAATCTACATTGCAGCAAGTTCCATTGAACGGTTGTAGAGTACAGCGAGTACAAGAAGCAGGCTTGTCTAAGTTTTGCCAATATTACTTGATACATTGAACATTGTTATGCATTGAAGCTGTGGACAGCGGGGGTCTTGCCATTCGGTGCATAAGGGTCCGCCATATCCTGATAAAACTTCACTAAAAAAAATTCCACCCTTCAACACGCAATCTGAGACCTAACGAAGGCGTTTTGAAGTCGACTCTATCTCGCACAAACAAACAAATCTGAGAACTTTAGTAAAGGAGTGGAAAAACGTTCAAACGAGGTTGACCTCAATGGGTGATGGGCTTTTTTAGAAGACAGTTACTGGCTGATTATCCATTGATAATAGTTCGTTTTCCTAAAGACACTCCATCTTCCACTAGTGGGTATTATGCTACCTGCCACACTGTGAACTAACACTGTCAAAATAGCCGCTGGACATGATTAGCAAATATTTCGGTTTACATGAGCTATTCTGTATAGAAGACACTGCTGAGTGATGTTACCCCATTTGTGCGGTGTTCCACCTTGGATTCACTTTGGCACAACGACGAAAACTTACATTGTATCAATTAGCGTCTGTGGATACTCGACTCGAATCACTGAGACTCTAAGTAAAGCGAAGACGCCGAAACTTTTGTCTCAATAAATGTTTTTGTAACAACCTCTGGTTAGGCTGTCAATTGATGGAACAAAAATTTTCAAAAGTTAAATGGGATATCACAGAGAGAAAGTCGACAGCCATCAAGCAAACAGTCCTGGCTATACCGTTGTTCTTGCACCCTATGAACTCTAGCCGACTTTGTATTAATTGTTAAATAGTTCGTTTGAACTTGAACAGAAAGATGATCATACAAGTAAGACTCGTTTTTGATGATCCACTTCGTTTCAGCAGAACCGATATTGGTACGTGATCAAAATTTGCACATTCATTTCGAAATGTTAACAAGAAGGATACAATTTCGGAGCTGAGAAGGTTGAAACAAGTTTATAAGAGCACTATGGTTATATTGATGACGACAAGGAACAGCGAGCAGCCGATTTTTCGAACACACTATTTCGTTTGTTCCTACCAGAAACCATGACAATGCCTAAACAGGATGAATAACAATTCACTTTTGTCGAAAGCGCTTTTGAGAGGATGATAATTAAGTTCCACGTATCATAAGAGTAACAAAAGGAATACAGCATCCTGACTTCTGTCGACTACAAGAAGTCGACGACACTTCTGGGTACACGACATTGCAAATTGGGTGTGCCAGACACGTAATTTATCATAAAAACAGGTGAACAAGAAACGTTATTGAATGGACCATAAGGATTGCCAATTTTTGACAAAGCGGAATTGAAACGATTATCAAAGTTCTTCACAAGCTCTTAAATAAAATATGTAAAGAACTTTGGAACGCAAAGCAAACTTGGAGATTTTGGTGGAGATCACTCGTTTCACTAGGAAATTAGCAGAAGGAGAGACCTATCACAGGCACAGTGAATACAATAGTAAATTTCTTCTATGCGACTTACCTATATAAGGCCAATCTTAAAGTTATGTCACAGATCGCTGGATAATTGATAGAAAGTTAACCTAGCATCTGTATTAGCCACGTACTTGCACTGCGACGTACGTGGATTCAAGAAGTGTATTTTATATCTAGGACACGCCGAAATGGCATTTTTGAGCCCCCTGTCCCTGTCTCTTCGCAGTGACTTGTGGTAGCCTTTTAATGTATAAAGCCAGTGTTTTACACCCTCCCATACAATTCTGGTGCTAATTTGTTGCAGAATCGAACAATTGAGCACATTTGCCCGCAGGGCACCTGAAACTATTCTATTCTATTGTGAACTATTCTTATTGTTACCAGAATGAAGCTGGGATATTTGCAGAACTCAGACCGCAAACCAAATTCGAACCCGTGGTTACCCTTCCCGTACGCTCAAGTGTACTCACTGAACTACTGAGGCCCTTGTTTTGCCCTTCTCTCCGCCAGTTTCTTACGCCAAGGCGCCGTGAGCAATCACTAATGAATGAGAATGACATGTAAGCGGAAAGGGTATTCACGAGCATATAGATTATTCTACTATTGCTATTAATGGAAATGTGTCCGTACTTTGAAGTGAGACCACTTCCATAATATTGCTGTCTGCCTATAAAATTTTATGGGCTATGTGGTACACATTAATATTTACTGGTAAGGTTATAGAGAAGATTTTTTGTATTCAAGAGAAGCTCTGCCCTATTTGATTAAAGTTCTTCGTCACCTTCGCCAATATACACTCCCGTATACACTCTTCTTCGCTGGTTGATGTGAGAATTTCTGATGCATGTCCTTAAAGGAAAAATAGGGCACTGCAAATAGTAAAAAAAACATTAAATGTTTTGTACTTTTTGCTATTGAACAGTGTACTAAAATGCCACAGTGTTCTACATGGAGCATTTGTTCCTTTTCAGATGATCAGTTTTAGAGTTTTTTTGAAAACGCCTTGCAGTTTTTTTCACTAACCGAGCAAAATGTGCTGTGGTATTCTTCGGAAAGCTTCATCACATGACAGCGGCAAAATCACATCTGAAACAACATAAAATAAGTCAACCTGTCATTTGTCATTTATTCACAAGGCAAGCGGAATTTGGAATAAATCTCTGATTCTGAGGAATCTCTGATCATTGTTCCTGCCTGATATGCATAATTTTTCCATGTAAAGAACATTTGAATTCGGTTTGTATTGTAGGTATCCATTTGGATTGATGGAATCCGAATATATAGAGCATTTCTTCGATAGTCGATTAAAATGAGCAGATCGGCAAAGTAACGGAAGACGAGATGCATCCGGAAACTGTAATTTTGTCCTTTTTGACGAAGTTACTCAGGAATTTTGCAAATATTTTGCATATGAAAGCATACGGTGCTAGTGAGACACGAGTGCACACATTTCCTTGGCGATTCAACGTTGAAAGTCACCAGAGTTGCACTTGCAGAAATTACCTAAAATCGCTTATAAGATTATTTAAAGAGCAAACTAAATATTCAATTCATATCCTTTTCGCGTTGAACTATAATTATTCACCTCAACACCATCTATAATCTGCACCCTAGCTTTTTCTCCCAGCGGACAATCCGGAACAATAGGAAGAACCTAAAGTAATTAAAGGCTAGGATCATAATTGCAACATTACAAGCATTTGGCATATTGCTGCAATTGTTTGAATGGTAAATTGGTGCATCGATTTAATCGGCTAGCAATTCAAACTTTTTTAGTAATTTTGGAACCACTTCAAAGAGTAAAGAATTGATAGCGATCCGCGCCATCAAATGCGTTTTCGAGAAGGCGATGCAAGGAGGAACTCTTATCATGAAAATGATGGTTGGAATTTGAAGTTATAAACTCTATCAACGATCAGCCTTCACAGGAGCTACAGTGTATACTGCGATGTCAAAATTCAGGAGAACCACACATACGATGCATTTTAGTGCCAGGTACTGCACAAAATCCAACAGTTACTAGATCCCACGGAATGCAAAACATAGGACAGACACCACTAACTCAATTGCCAGATACTCTCACTAAGACATAAAATGCAGAGTGTGATGTTCACCGTGTGACTAGAGTAAGCAAAAACCATTTAGCAGGTCGGAGTGAACAGCGTCCAGTGCAGGCTTTCTTGAAGGCCGCTGTCATCGCTCGAGTGAAGGACAGATCGTACCGATGGAGCATTCAACATTTAATGTAGCATGTAGAGTGCTGCTTGTGTATAACAGTGTAAAAATGGTATTTCAATAGGTGGAATACATGATCGAAGAGAACAATAAAGCTCTCAAAGTTGATCAATCCATGACAGATGCACCATGAATTCGTTAAGAATCGTTAGAGGTGATTGAATGCGTATTTGGATTATACAATGATTAACAGTGGACCTGATTTATCAAGTTATTGCTGTTATATTTTCAGACAAGTTCGGTATCAACTTGTCAACCCTCAAGAGATGGAAAACTTGGTGAGCCCGTGAGCGAGACCAAACCTGTTTGTTTTGCAGAGCGCCTCTAACCACTGCGCTGCATACGCCCTTAGAATGCCTGGTAGCAAAAAATATTGCAAGGCAGCACATTAGAGAAGCAGAAACGATACGAAATAAATATTCCATTAGAATGGGAATATGATCGAACTTTTTTCTCAGTTTTTCATAACGTTTGCAGGCATAATCGTATTATAATTAAATTCTGGAAATAGTTGGTGTTAGACTTTTTGCACGTTTAAATGCATTAGAGGTAAACAGAAGCAATAATTGAAATTCGTAAAAAGCAAGGAGACGAGAAATATTAAAAACAAGAGATGGCAGCCACCTCGACAGCAAAAGACGAGAACGGATCTCTTGGTGGCGGTTGAATTTTCCTCTCTGCAGAATCGAGCTGGAAATTCAAATTTCAATATTGCAAAGTTGGGCGAAATTTCAAATCACGTACTTGACGAGGAGCCGTATTTCTTGTATAGGTGGCCTGTTTTGATTCTTCATAGCAATCTTCTCGGAGAACAAGGTATACGGTACCGATCGATGGCTGCAGAGCAGGAGCACACTTGTATTTAGGTCTACATGAAATAACGTACTCAAAACATCTCAAAAATTATATTCAAACGTTGTTCTTACATTTCATTAAAAGTCTATTAAACGGTTAGAAGTTTTCTTGCTGTAAATGGCTAGGAGTGCTACCATTCCACTACAAATCATTAGGATTATAATTGCGTGATGCTGAGATACTTTCAAAACGTTTCTGCCTTCTTGTTAGCCAGTTTTCTATCTAACAGTGTCATGAGCAATCACTAGTCAAAGGGGAGAATGATCTGGGAGCATAAGTGGGCATTAAACCCAGTTAAGCTGAAGAGTTATTGTCGAAATCACAATAAATAGCATTTTATCTACTTTCTCCTAATTTATTTTACTGCAAGCTATTATGTGAAACACAACGACAGCGATGCCGGGGAATTTGCAAAATTTGGGCCTCAGGCCAGACCCAATCGCTATTACCCTTTCCGGAAGCTGACTTGTTGTGCACGACACCATTGACGTCCTCCTCTGAATACCAGTCTGTGATTACTAGATCATTCCCGTTGACGGATTATTGCTGATCGCACCGTTACTGCCTGAGAGGAAGGAAGAAAGTGGTCCTCAGTGGTCCCATGCGTAACACGTGAGCCCCCGGAAAGCGTAGTCGCTGTTCGATCCGGGCTAGGGTCCAGGTTTTGCAAATATCTCTTGTGGTTGTATTTCATACAGTACTTTGCCGAAAAAATAATGAGCGGGAGATAAAAAGTTACACATCAAGATTACAGTCTGAGGATCCCATTGAGTATAAATCATCGATTATAATTTCAGTCTTCTTATCTCATTTATCATTACGTCATCTTATTGTCTTTCAACTTCAAAAAAATGTGAATGATAAAAACACAGTGTGTAGGAGCAGAAAGAATTTGATGTTGCTCAGCTGAGCTTTTTTTAATGAAAAATGTTTTACGGGGATATTTTGTAGCAAGCAGAATCATCTTCCGCATAGGTGAAAAGTTGAGTCATCTATTACTCGATTTCAAATTTATCGATTGTGCTGAATAATAGAAGAACTGAAAAGCCTACCTTAATTTTTCGTTGGATTGTTCCTCGCGATAGGAAGTTGTCTCAGGCCCATCTATAATTTTTTCTATTTGTTTTCGAAATGGTCAAAATACTTTCGGGACTCACGAGTTCTGTTCCATCCAGACGCCAATAAAGGAGTTTCGAAAAGTTCGCATGAACTTCTATACAGATGGTACTGAGCGTTTTTACACAATGGCGTTGAGAGGCAGAGCTCCTGACATTTCGTAAGCGATGATAAAGACCTAAGCAAAAAAATAAAATATATTGTAAAACTCTATCAGGTTCCTTTTTCAGATATACCAATCCTCAGTGGCTAAAATTAGACATCATACCTTTCTTTCATTGGTTTATGACAAGTAGCTTTGACGTTTCGATGAGATGTGAAGCAGTCGATAAAATCTGTAGCGATTTTAACCCATATATAAGCTGTTTAGCATTGTGCTATACTTTTTAATGGATACTTCGAAGTTTAGTAATACTTAAAAAGAAGAATGAATAAAAATTTGGAACAGCGTTTTATAAGTTCTCCCAATCTACCCCATTTCATACGAACAGCTTCAAAAAGAAAAAGGATTTCCCGAATATTCGGAGATTATCCTATTTATATTGATCACTTGGAGTTGAATTATTTGAAGAAACGAATATAAGACAAGTTGATGTTCTTATAGTGTGCAAGCTGCTTAATACTAGGAAAGGAGAAGCAGCTAAGAATGATTTTACAGCTTTTTGTTCATCACTTCTGCATCTGAGGTTCGAAGAAGAAATGAAAAACCACATTCTGTTGCACTGCAGATCCATCCATTTTAAACTAAGGTCTAATCCAAAAGCAGATCATTGTAAAAGGCCCTTGTTGAGTGAGGAGAATGTATTCGAGCAGTCTTCCACTCCAGACGTTTCACCTCAATGCGACAACGACCTGCTGTTGTCAGTTAACATCTATTCGGTTACATTTTCAACATTTAATTCCAACTATAGCTCGTTAATTTCGCACAGCAAAAATAAGTGCAGCGAAGTTGTTTGAGGTGCCTTGCAAAATACATGTTGCAATTGGTTCGATAACGCGCCGAAGGCAATTTAACCCCTCTATTCCTTTGGGAGCGGCAAATTGGAAGTGGTTCATTGCATATCTAGTACTATATTGTGCCGCTTTATCAAAGATGTTCCTTGAAATCAATAATATTCAATCAGGCTTTGGGAAAAAAAAGTTTCAATCTAGGAAGGTATTTAGTGAGATAGTAACGAATGTTAATTGCAACCAAACATCTCAGCTTTTCTATTCTTTCTAAGTTTTAGATTAACTTGTAGCTTCTTATTTTAAGTGAATAGTCGGAATTCGTGGGAGTAAGATGTCCAGCTTAATGGTTAGATGTCAAGTGATAAATGTGTGTTTATTGGTTTGACCACACGCTGGGCATATCCATCTTTTAGGCTTCCGCAAATTCATGCCGATCTAGGAAAAGCTCCCTCTAATCCGAAAGGTCCGAAGGCTGACTGCGATGAAGAGCTGGAACTGCCTTAGTAGAGCTACCCCAGGATTTCAAGAACAATGAATTGGACAGGAATTCTATGACATTTGTGGAAAAGACAAAGTTTTCAAGTGGCAATTGAATCCTGAGACCAACACAAATGCCCTCGTGGATGATGAATTATGACAATGAACCAAATGAAAAATGCGTTGGAATTCGGACAGCATATAACGACGAGTAAGTCAAATAATGAAGTAAAAAATGCACACCGATAAGTCAAAATCAATGAGCAGTTTCATACCATCAAAAGGCGTCAACCATACTTGGCTTTATTACCGTCAATTCCTTTTGTGTAATCAAAAACCTACATCTGATATGGTTACTAAAGTGTGTACCATCAAAGAGGAAAGAGGATTTTTTCTTCTAATCACCGCTTCGTTGGGTATCACGAAACGTTCCGATTAGTGTGCTAATTAGTGATTGTAATTGAAAATGTTTGTTACCACTATATCACCTTGGAAAGTACGTCACTAAAAAAATGTTTCCACAAACCTTCTGAATTAACAGCAACTCTGATTAAGACGGAAATAGTTACAGTGGAGATGTACGAAGCGATCATCATCACTGATACGTTCGGTGAACTAGCAGGATAGTTGGCCCACTTTAGAGCGCAGGACATATTTTGATCCGATCAGCGAGGATTATGGTGATGCACGACGAACTAGCTGGTCATCGCCCGGAACACAACTCTGATAATTGCGAAACCAACTCAGTAAATCTCATTTCACTGTTCGCAGCGTGTCGTCGTTCAGTTACGAATTTATAATAAAATTAAGAACAGGCACGCACATACACACGCACATACACACGCACATTCGCACACATACATACGTGCATACACATTTTATTATGTTCATCTTCGTTATATTTAACAGCTCACAATGATTAGAGGTACACTGAGTGAGGACGGATCCCATAACAAGCGAAGAAAAAGATGGACGATAAAACATTCGGATTAATCCACCTTGAAGGATACTCTATGCATTTGAATTCTTTGAACATCGTTAGCGGTGACTGAGTGCATATTTGGACCGTACGAAGGCTTGTAGTGATTTGCCAATGTATCGAACCAGTGTTTCACAAGTGTATTGCAGGGTACTCCCAAATAAAGCGCTAAACACACTTCTGGTATAAAAAAAATAAATAAAATATCTTTTTTATCCTTAACGATGCTGAGATATTTGCAAAACTCCGGACCGTATGTGTATGCGGTGGGGAACGAACGCGCTATTGTCCTTTCTGGGGAGTAACGCGCTCACCACCACACCATGCCGGTCCCCGCTTCGTCTGTCTCTCCACTATCTTGGTTAAGTTACGCACAGTGTCTTTTGTTGTAACACAGTATTAATGAATATTTACGACAAAAACCAGTATAATTTGCAAGTTGGGCGTTTAGGCAGGGAATTCAGATACGAAGCAGATCAACACAAAGAATTGACTACCGAATTGCGTCGCCTCTACAAAATGTCGCTATTTAATAACTGAAAGCGCGAATTTTGAAATCCACACCATTTCACTAATATTCATCACGAAAAGTCCACAAAATATGTGAGCGACGAGTGCCTGTGTTCATAGGATGCGAGAGAAGCACATGAACAGAGAGTGTGTG